GACCTCGGGGATCCATGGCCTGGGCTAAGCAGGGCTGCAGTGAACTGCTTATCAGAAAGATCATTCAGAAGCTACTTTGGAGGATAAAATAAGAGGCCAAGGAATGAGTGTGGTTGTCACAGGCTGGGTGAGAGGTCATGAACTTCAATCTTGACCTACAGCTTAGCAGAGATTCAGCACTTGGGGACACCCGAGCAGGAGGGAGTGTGAGTCCTTTTCCCAGCCAGGTTTCCTGTGCTGAGGTCCTGGCTGGGCTGAAGCCTGCTTCTAAGGGGTGAGCAGGGGTAGCCCAGGGCAGACACTGGCCTCAGCTTTTGCTGGGGCTGCTCCAGTGAACCTCCCAGCTACTCTTGGTGGATCCGGAGGAGAATTTCCAATTACTTCTTGTCCAGGGCCCAGTCCTCAGAATTCCTTCCTCAGCAGCCATGCACCCCTTGCCTTGGATATATTCTTCCACTTCTGGCTTTGTTGAAAAATGATCCTGTTTGTGGCTCTAGCTTCTGTTTCTCTTGCACAGGGGAATCTGCAGTTTGCTAAAAGGGGTATTCAGAAGAGGAAATAGGTGCATCCACAACTCTCAGGACTGTGTGAGTGCAAGGCCAGCACAAATCCTATGGTGTCTACCAAGGCCCTGCGGTGTAGCCATCCTGTGTGCAGAGCTGCTGGCAACTTTGTGCGTGAGGCTAGCTCTAGCTGAGGCGAGTCTGTGGGGCCCAGGGGCCCTGGAAAGCTGTAGGCCAAGTGGGGTCTCATTTAGGCAGCAGCTTAGCCAGATGTACATTTAGCTAATCGCTGTTGTCCAGGGATCCTGCTAATCAAGAAGCCAGGGGTTCACTACCAATTCCTCCTCTTGATTGTGGTGGCTTCAGGGGAAGGTAGAGCTGGCCTGAGTGGAGCAGCAGGACCAGCTCTATGTTGTCTGGGCCCCACACATATGTAGTCAAATATGAGACTCATTTTCTAAGTGGGTGGCCTTGCCAGCCCGCCAGGCCCCTGGGGACGCCTCACTCAGCTTTTGCTGCACAGCACACAAAGCCTAAGGGAAACACAGGAAGTGGGGCCCGGCCTCTGGATGCTTTTCCTCAGCACCCCTTGAAGCAGCCCCTTCTCCATATCCCTCCTTCCATGGCTCAGGTCCTGTCTTGTTCCAGCCTCTTCTGCTTCCCTGACTCTCCTAGGAACCTCTTTCTATAAGTACCAAGAGGTCCAGGAGAGGCTGAGGGAAGAGGCCTCCCCAGAATTGGGTGTCAGAGGGACCAGACCTAAACATGGCGAGGTGGCCTTATCCCTCTGAAGCTCAGTTTTCTTACCTGGCAATGGGACCTGTTTTGCATAGGTATAAACCTCAACAAATTCATGTGTGAGGGAGCACTGGGAGGGGCAGAAAGCACCTTGGGCCCTGGTAGGCTTCATGGTTTACAAACCCCGCGCTGCACTCTGGGATGCTGGGAGGAAGCCCAGAGCTTGCACTGACCTCCTTTCCTGATACCCTCTTCTCCTGCCCAATGAGAGTCCTGCATGCAGCACTGCAAAGCCACCCACCTCCTGTTCCCTAGACCCCCACTCGCCCCTGTGTCCCCAGGAACCCAGCCGACTCTATGCCATCGCGCTGCCCCCGCACCAGGCATTCTTGCCCTTGGAGATCCTGCCGTGGCTCCAAGTCATGTTTGCTCTGTGGTAATGAAAATATTGAATGGGATCAGTGGCTCATAAACTGTCTAGATATGGAGCTTTGTCGGCCTGGCATGAGAACACAGGAGTGATGAATCAGACCTGGCCACACCCCATCAGGACTCCTTCCTGTAGCAGGCCCAGCTACAGGCTAGGGGCCCAAGAAATGGAAGCAACATTTTGTTGTAGTTAGGGCTCACGACCCTGGGTTTGGGCTTTACTGTTCTGAATTCTGAGTTGATCTTTCTAAGTCTGGGTTTTGCAAGTGAATTCCAACTGGGTGAGTGCCAGGGGCTTGGGCCTAGCATGGTCCCGCCTCACACTGTCTTGTGGTCTTGTGGTGGGTCTGTGGCTCACTTAACTCGGTGCCACCTGGCTTCCCTCTCTGTTGCTCTGTTCTCCCTCCGGCAGTGCAGGCAGGATGAGGCCCAGTGCTCCTATCTCACCATGCCTCAGCATGGGGCAGCCATCTGAGCCTGGGCTAGCAGTGCCACAGCGTATTCCCAGGGGATTCAGAAGAATCAAATGTCTTGCATATCCTGACCCAGGAACCTGGTGTAGTTGGGCCTGGAGGCTGCAGCATTCTCAGCTAGCCTGGCTTGGGAGGCAGGCCTGTGGGGCAAGGAGATGTGTGACTCCACTTCCTGCCTTAGCCCTGGCATGGTGGGCTGTGGGAGGACGGGGGAGCTGGTGAACCTCAAGTTCATATGTGCCCAGCAGTGGTGTGGGGGCACCAGGCCCGTGTGGTCAGCTCTCGGCTCATGACTGTACCTGTGAACAAAGGAGCACAAATTAAGCAGGAAGTAAAAACACCACGACAGGCTGAGAAAATTCTGAAGGGAAAGGAAAAGTTTGCTTTGTATTTTAGCACCTTTAACAGCACCGTTTTGTTTGTTTGGTTGGTTAGCTTTCTCGGCAGGGCCACCGCATTTCCTTCTCTCACTGGGCCCAGCTAATTATGCGGATGGTCTTAGGTGCAGAGGAAAAAGCAGGAGGTGCAGACTTGGAGGACTTTCTAAGTTCTGCCTCTTCATGCCTCGCCCATGCCCTGCTTTTCTCTGGACTTGGCCTGGTGTGCACATCATGGTGCTGCTGGCCTCTTGGGACGTCTCGTCCCTTCCTGCTCCTGTGGAAGCTCCCATCACAGTTCTCTGCCGCATGCTTCCTGGCTCCAGATGGGTGCTTTCCCTCTTCCCACGGCCGTCCCACACACTCTCCTTTCAGTGAGCACAGTGGCCCTGAGGGCAGACTTGTTCCTGTTCCCTACTCCCCTTGACCTGTGTCATCTCTGTCCCTCACGACCCCAGCATCACACCTGGCAGGTAGAGGTGTTGGTTTGAACATGTGACCTGATTTTCATTAGGGCCTTGTTTCACTGTGGCACAGGGTGACTTCCCCTAGATGTACCTGTGGGTCTTGCGTGGCCCAATCTTTGATCCCTGGTCTGTGTGTCTGTGGTGGGGTCTTCTTTGTTTCTGCCTGTACCTGGGCTTCTCTCACCCCTTGGCAGCAGTCTGTGGCCACTTTGCCATGCTGCGAGGGGCCTCTGCTCTTTGATTGGGCCTTCTTGGGCATAGGCTGTGCCACACCCCCAGGGCTGAGGGGCACTGTGAGCTGGCACATGTGTTAACCAGTGGTTCTCCCCACCGGGCTGCATCTGGTGATGTGATAAAGATGAAAGAGAAAGGCTGGCCAAATAGCTCAGGGGATCAAAGTGCCTGCAAGTAGGCACAGGGGCCAGGGGTTTGATCCCCAGGCCTGCCATGCTGGCCCCGCCACCTCCAGGGTGAGACAGCTATTGAGACTGGGCTTAGTGGCGTGCCCCTATAATCCTCGCACATGGGAGGCTGTAAACAGGAGAATCACTACAAGTCCAATCTAGTAGTCTAGTAGTGAGACCCTGAACACCCTGTAGACCTTTTCTTAAAATACAAAGAGGGACGGAGGGAGGGAGGGAGGGAGAGAGGGAGGGAGACAGAGAGGGTGAGAGAGAGAGAAAGAGAGAGAGTGAAATGAGTTGTTAAAGTTAAATAAAACAATAATGGAAGCAGTCCTCGTGTACTGAATGCTTGTCATGTGCCTGTCTATGTTATACACACATATTCAGTCATTTATGGTGCACAGTAATCCCCTGAAATACATCCTGGTATGATCCCTATTTCATAGATTAGAAGACTGAATCATACAGGTTATGAGGCTGACATGCCCAAAGGTGCACAGTTAGAAAGTGGAAGGTATTTGAATTCAGATGTCCAGCATGCAGCAACACCCAAGTGCTTTCAGTACTTGGAGGGTCCTTAGGGAGTATGGGTCCACACTGTCTTGCAGGAATGAGGCCCAGAGAGGAAGAGTGATGTGCTTCAGGTCACACAGCAGGTTAGTGGGGACCTGGAACAGAATCTTGGCTTTCAAACTGTCTGCTCTTCCCCTCTTCATGCCTGCCTGCCTTTGAGGGAGCTCAGGGATCCTGATTCTGTGGATGTGGGAGACGGTGGGAGCCAAGTGACATGAGCCACAAAGGCAGCTATGGCGGGAAGCGGGCTGTGGAGACAGGGTGAGGGGCTCTGATGGTTGGCATGTGGAACAGCCCCATGTGGGAGGTTGGCATGTTTGGGAAACAAGCCAGCCACCAGGTGTGCATGGTTGGTTGGGGACATGGAGATGTTTTCTAGCTGGAGTGTCCCCTAAGTCCTGCAGGGGAGGGAGCATGACAGCTTCCTGAGGGGAAGGGTTCTGAGCCCCAGGAGAGCCCAGAGCTGGCTTCCCTCTGTGCCTTTCCTCAGAGAACTAGGGAGGCTGTGGATGCTTTTGTGGGGGAAAGCTCAGACTTACTGAGGAAGCTCTGGTCATGGTGAGTATGAGTATCTGAGAAGCAGCCACAGAAGCCCAGTGGGCAGCGGGAGGTACAGATCAAGGACCTAGGAGAGACATCTGGGCTAGCAAGAGACCTGGCAGCTGTTGCCTGGACCCTGTATTCAGCACTGACCATCAGAGGGAAGAGCAAGTGTGGACAGATGGCAGCCTCTGGCCAGCAGTGGCAGCTGGTTTATGAGGGTGGGGTGAGGCAAGGAGTCTGAGGAGATGGTGCTGAGAAGTCTGAGGCATTACTGAGGAGTCAGGCCAGGCTCTCAGCAGCACTGGTGTCCCACAGGCTCTGGGCTGTGGTGCAATAAAGGCCCAGGGCTCAGGCTGTGGCAAGTGGGGCGAGGATGGAAGCGGTGAGTGAAACCTCTGCTCACCCTCAAGTCTGGAGCACAGGGGCAGATGTGGCCAGCGTCTGGTCAGGAGAGGCCTAGGGTCACCTGCTCACATCTCTCTTGTTTCCCTAGGAGAAGGGGCCACACCGTGCACTTCAAGCATCCTCCAGGAGAAGCAGCGTGAGTTAACCTGACCCCGAGGGCCCTTTCTTCCTTTTTCCCTGACTGGTGGTGCAAGTCCCTGAGGCTTGAGTCCTCTTGTCCACTCAGAGCCTAGAGGGTGGCAGTGTCCTCTCCTTCTCGTTCATGGGAAGGCCTGCAGGGCTGCTGGGCCTGAGTTTGGGCTGCTGTCATATCCCTTCGCGTTCCTGGATTTCCTTGTTCTATGTTACTCCAGGATGAGAGATGTGAGGCTGGTGGGGTGGGGTGGAAATAGCCAAGCTGATAACACTGTGGAAAGCTGGTGGGTGTCATTCTCATCTGGATGGAGAGAGGGTTGACAGGACTTGGGATCCAGCTCTCCTGTGTCTTTATGACCATCTCCTTTTTTTTTTTTAAATTTTATTTGTGTGTGTGTGTGTGTGTGTGTGTGTGTGTATGTGTGTGTGTGTGTGGCCAGCTCAGCCCACCAGGGGGCTGGACTGGCTGGCATGTGGTGCTGGGGGATTGAACCGCGGTCCCTGTGCTTTGCTAAACTTGTTCTAAGTAGGTGCTTTAGACCACTGAGCTATCTCACCAGCCCCATGACAATCTCCTTTGGATGATACAATTTACAGGAGCCATAGGTGGTGTGGTGGTGACCAAAAGTGTAGTACCTGAGGTCATGTAAGGATGTATCATTTAAAGTTGTATTTTATGGTTTTAAACCATAAAATCCCCCCACAAAATGGTCATAACTGCAGAGCCAGGTCCCTGTGGCTGAGTTCTGGGGTTTACTGTCTTGGTCGTTCTCGTGTGTCACACTGGCCTCTTCAGGTTGCCTGATGCTTGTGTTTTCTCTATCACTATTCTAGATTCAGGAGAGTCATGCTAAGGTCATGTCAATTTGCTGGTAGTCTCCCTGGATGTTCCAGGGACACCTGGTATTCAACGACTGTGCCTCATGTCTTTGTGATTGGCAGTACTGATGTTCATATGAGGCTGGAGGTGGAGCAAGGGTCCATATGTTTGCTGAGAGCTTCTCTTCTTGCTAGTCTAATCTGTGGCCCCAGCTGTGGGGGACTCAGCTCCTGTTGACCACCAGCTCCCCAGGCCTGAGGCTCCCTGTAAGCTCTCCTGTCATTTGTTACTAATCTGTGGTGAAGGACATGACAGTGGTACCACCAGCCTCCTACAACAGAGGGCCTACCCTGAGCAGGTGCACAGGCCTTCAAAAGATCATTGAGCTCTCTAACATTCAGCTATAATTCACAAATAAAATCTCTGCTGCATTAGGGGCTGGTGGGTATAAGTGCATTTGTCAGAGGCACCCCCAAGTCTCTGGTCTCAAATACAGCAGGAAAAGAGGAAGGGTGAGGCAGAGAGAAAAGCAGTTCAAAATGTACCTGTAGCAATTTTATTTATGGAATTGGCTGAGTGATGACCCAGAGACCAATGCCATTAAAAGAATTTTTTACATAGCTTCAAAGAGAAGGGGTACACCCCCCATGATAGGCCGGGCCAATGGGGAAGCCACAGTGTGGTCAGGACCGTGGCCTTTGTGGAGGTTTCTGAACCAGTTAAGACAGTGGGAGCAGCTTAGAATGGCTGTGGGCCAGGGAGGCCCTAGTCGCTTAATACCTGGGCCTGCTTGCTGTAGGCCAGGTGAGCTACCTTTGACTAATACTTCAAAGTGTTAGTCAAAGGAGGTGCCTAGAATATAAATGGAGTTTGGGTGGTTGCATGTGGAAGGTGGGTTCACGGGCACATCGTTTATTTTCCGTAGGAACCAGCCTGAGTAGCAGGAGCAGTCTCTCCCTTGCCAGGAAGCCCTAAGATGTCAAACCATCCTAAAGTTAAAAGCATGATTAATGCAGGGATGTGACCACATTCCTCAGGGATGTGGGAAAGGGAAATTGCCTAGATTGTCCCTGTTGGGCTTGTGGGAAGAGGTACCCACAGCCACAGCCTGCGAGCGAAAGTCCTAACCACAGCCTGTTGCCCACAGACACAGATGAACTGATGGGACAGCCGGCATCTTTCCGGTCTGGTGGAAAGAACCTTGTTTCAGTAGAGGATAAGTCGTTTTTTCCTCACAGTTATAGATTGTAGTGAAAATTATATCATTGAAAGCTATCATTGAATTCTGTTTCTTAAGGACGTTTCTATTTAGTAAAGACTGACAGTCAATGTGTAGAATAATGTTGGAGCTGAAATGATACCTCGTGGGTTGTCAGGGCCAGTGATACCTGATTAGAAACCCAATATTTTTGGCAGTGGGGAACAAACAGCCCTTTAATGTGTTTTTCTGTAAGGACAAAAGTCTTCAACAGAGAGGACTGCTTTCCACACACTTATCTCCGCAATTATGTCCTCCCTATAATTTTTAGCATTAAAATCATTTTTCTCTTTTGAGATGATAGTGATAATTGATGATAATTTGTTTGTTTATGTTTAATCCAAAATTAGCAAAATAAAATTTTATGACCTGAATTAAAGAATAATAGTAATGTCTTACATTTATAGTATGTTTTCCCATGGAGAGTACACTTATGTGCAGATTACCTCATTTGATATTTCCACTGGGAGGCCCAGTAAGATAGCTCAGTGGACTAAGCGCTTGCTTAGGCAAGAGCAGGTACTGGGGTTCGATCCCTGGCACCACATGCTGCACCGGCCCCATCCCTGGGCATGCTGAGCCGGACAGAGTCCAGTCGTGGTGGTGCAGGCCTGTAATCCCAGCACTGGGGAGGCTGAAAATAGGAGGATCACTACGATGAGTCTGAGCTATGTAGTAAGACCTGCATCAAATACATAAATTTAGAACAATATCCATTGGGTTTTTGAAAACTCAATAAAAACAGGTTATGAGAGGTACAAATTACCCTGGGTCAAGAGTCAGAAAACCTTGGGACTGGTGCTGTGTGTCTGTGGTGTAGAAGGGGGTTGAGGTTTGAAGCTCACTCTGTTGAGTTGCTGTAATGCTTTGGGTATGTTGCTTCCAGGCTCTGAGCATCTGTATACTTACTGTGCAAAAATAACGGGTCCACTTCCCAGAGTTGGGCTGGGGAGATAGCTCAGTGGAATAAGTGCTTACTTGGCAAGCTCAAGGTCCTGAGTTCCATCTCTGGTACCACCAAAAAAAACCAACCAAACAAAAAAACCCCCCAAAAAATGGTTTGTGCACTTTCCAGAGTTGCTGAGAAAATCAGAGACAGTCCACGTTAGGGTCTGTATCCGAGGCAGAGGAAGAGGTTCTCTTTTATTGCCATTTGCACGAGCCTCGCCATCTGAAACACCTGGATACAGATGTGTTGGTGTATATTGTCATCTCATGGAGCTCAGTCTTCTTGGAGCTTCACTGGCCCTGCGGCTTTTTCCTTGTCACCGTAGTGTTTCTCTGTACATTGGTGTCCCCAGAGATTCCTATCGAGCTGTTCAAGAGCTCTGGGCCTCCTGGCATGCAGTGAGGGGCAGGGTCTTGAGGTTGCTAGGCCTTATCCAGGTGACCTCTGGGCCAGGGACCTTGGCATGCTTCCTCCTTTGTGTCTGCCTCCATCCCAGTCTTGTTCTGCGTCCTGCCATTGGACAGTCAGCCTGGTGGCTTGCCACCCTGGTGTGCACTTGTGATTTGAAACCAGACTGGAGGAAGTCTAGGGAGGCTGGGAGGGGTGCCCAGAGAGTGAGGCCTTGGGCTGGGGGAAGGGCCAGGATGCTTTCTCCACCTTGGCTGCTCCCTTCAGTGCTGCCTGAACAGTTGGGTTGAACGCAGGGAGTGATCCTCTCTCCTGCTGTGAGCTGCCACCACCCTAGGAGAGACTGAGGCCGGAACTGTGGGCCCCTTAGGGCAGGAACCCCTGTGTCTCTGCTCGCTGCCCCACTCTAGGGTGCAGGGTGCTTCCCAGCCAGTTCTGCTCTCTCTCTGTGGCTTCAAGGGGCTGCAGTCATGATGACTGTGTCACAGAGCAAACATGCAGGTGCCTGGGGAACAAGTGACCTTGTAGACTGTGGTCCAGACAGCCCTCTTGAGGCTGCTCAATTCCTAGAACTCCACCCCCTGCCTGCTCCATCCGGGTCAGAATTCCTTTGGCTTGCAGTTTCTCCTTTCACTCCAATCCTCCCTAGCCCAATGCCTCCTGTCACACAGGTGCTGTCTCCAGAGCTAGCTCTGCTATCACTCTCCTTCCCACTGACCCCAAACTCCTTGGGATCCAAGCTGTGTACAGAAGGGGAACCTCCAAATGTCTGGTTGGGGATGGGGGCTTCCTCTGTTTTGCTCTACCTGGGAGGGGCAGATTCTGTCCTCAGAAGACTTACCCGCCGTGGCCCTGGACCCTGCAGCAACGTAACACATAGCACACAGCCTCATGAGGGCAATCAGCTGGCATTCCCTAGGGCCAACACTGGCCTCAGCTATGGAGTAAGGGCCTGGTGTGAGAGGATCTGCCCACTGCAGTGCACCCTGGGACTCTGACTCTGATCCTTTGCTAGTCCCCAGACCATGACAAGACAGTGGTCCAGACTGAGTCCTAGTTTTGCCCCAACTGACACTTTGTCTTCATTGTCAACTGAGCCTCTGTTGTAGTCACCAAGTAAGCCCAGTGTGTGCTTTGCTGACCCCAGACTGGGCTTGGATCCTTGGTTCAATTTGGGACATGTGGACAGCTCAGCATCACCCTGCTCACTCTGGGACCTGGTTTGTCCTCACACTGCAGCCTAGTGTCAGTTTTCCTCCTGTGCACCCTCAGCCCATGGTCTACACCAGAGGACCCCAAACAGGCATGATGTGGGAAGCCCCTTGGCCACAGCTGGCTTCCCCCCTCCTCTGCCTGGTAACTGCTGTCTTTTCCTGGCCTGTGTGGGCAGCTTGCTGAGCACAGCTGCAGACAGGCTATATTTAGCCGGCTTTAATGAGCTCAGGGTGGCAGACATCCGCCTTGGGAGCACTTTTCCTGCATGTGTGCATATTCCCATGCTTGGCTATGGCTATGGCTGTGGTTCTTCCTCGTATGGGTGTGCGTGTGTCTTTGCATTTGTGAGTG